AACATGAGGTGTCGCCGACTCAGCCGCTGACTGCTGGGCAGCGTGCCGCCAACGAGAGCTGGTTCACAGAGTCACCGCTGAGGTTCTCGTTACCTTTCGCGGGCGCGGGAGGGTTCGGCACCGGGTGTCATGGCGCGCACGCGGGCGCGGCGCCCTTCCAGTCTGGCGCGGAGGGCATGGATCCAGATACTGTCTATACAGGAGTAGAGTCGGCATTCGAGGTGGGCGCGCCGTTAATCGTGCCAGACGAGGTGGGTGCCGACCGCGATGTGGCTCCGACCGTTGTAGACTCCGACTCTGAGTCGGGTGCGCTATCGGTCGTGTGAGATGCAGCGGGCATGGGCCCAAGGGGGCTGCGGTTTCGGTCTTGATATTCACAACGAAGAGCGGGAAAAGGTCCCATGGGTGGGGTTCATGCGTGTCAGGCGCCTGGTTGTTTGAGGGTGCTCCCGTTTCATTGTATGAGATTGTGGCGGTACTGTGCTTACGCTGTGCCAGGGTGGAGAGTGGAAGGCTTCAGGGAATGACTTTGCAATCGTTCTCCGTGAGAAAATGTTTCTCTGGCTTTTTGATGGAAGCGTTCTCGAGAGTCGTTCTGGTGAGGTAGCTGGTGTGAGTACCGTTGTGTGCCGGATGATGAGAGTACGTCCGGGATCGTATTTCTGGAAAGATACGTTTGGTCGGCGGAGGGGGCGGCGAGACTTAACTTTATCATCGCCGAGCGATGTGCGAATCGTAGCTGTAATCTTCTTATCACGATTGGCCTTAATTGTGGCTCTTGGGGTTTCCGCGGGGTCGGCTTGGGGCTGCGCGACGGCGATGACGACCACGACGGCGACGGCGGCAGCGCCGGCGACGAGGAAGTGGGAAGGAGAGAGGAGGGGGAAGGGAGGGATCGGCGAGGGGGAGAGAGGGAAAAGCGAGGAATACACAGAGAGAGAGAGAGAGAGAAAGAGAGAGAGAGAGAGAGAGAGAGAGAGAGAGAGAGAGGGGGAGGAGGGAGCAGAGGGAAGGGGTAGAAGGGTTTAGGCTGGAGCATTCTAGTAGAGCTACTTGAGCTTACTACTGGTACGGTCGGCGGAGGGGGCCTCCGCTCGAGACATTCTCGGAAGTCCGCCCCGGCGGGGCTACTAGTAAGGCTACTTTGTAGTACTCGTACGGCCCACGGGAGCTGGATGGGGGCGTACTAGTAGGGCTACTTTGGCCTACTAGTACGACCGGCGGAAGGCGCTCCCGCTCGAGACAATCTCGGAAGTCCGCCCCGCCGGGGCTACTAGTAGGAACGAAGTGGCCCTACTAGTACGGACCCGGGGGGTTGCCGGGGCGTAGTAGTAGGGCTACTTTGGCCTACTAGTACGACCTGCGGAGGGCGCCCCTGCTTGATACATCCTCGAAAGTCCGCCCCAGCGGGCGGGGGCTACTAGTAGGGTTCTTTTGGCCTGGTAGTACGGGCCTGAGGGGGTGGCGGGGGCGTACTAGTAGGGCTACTTTGGCCTACTAGTATGACCGGCGAGAGGGTCCCGGTCGGGATATCCTCGAAAGTCCGCCCCGGCGGGGCTACTAGTAGGGCTTCTTTGGCCTACTAGTACGGCCCCCGGGAGCTTGACGGGAGCGTACTCGTAGGGCTATTTTGGCCTACTAGTACGACCGGCGGAGGGCGCTCCCGCTCGAGACATTCTGGAAAGTCCGCCCCGCCGGGGCTACTAGTAGGGCCGAGGTAGCCCTACTAGTACGGACCCGGGGGGATGGCCGGGGCGTACTAGTTGGGCTATTTTTGCCAATAGTACGACCGGCGGAGGGCGCCCCCGCTCGAGACATCCTCGAAAGTCTGCCCCGGCAGGGCTACTAGTAGAGCTACTTTCGCCTACTAGTACGGGCCCCGGGGGGCTGGCGGGGGCGCACTAGTAGGGCTACTTTGGCCTACTAGTACGACCGGCGGAGAGGGCCCCCGCTCGAGACATCCTCGAAAGCTACTTTTGCGGAGGGGCCCCTCGCTCGAGACATCCTCGAAAGTCCGCCCCGGCGGTGCTACTAGTAGGGCCGAAGTAGCCCTACTAGTACGGACCCGGGGGGATAGCCGGCGGGGCTACTAGTAGGGCTACTTTGGCCTACCAGTATGGTCCTGGGGGGTTGGCGGAGGCCTACTAGTAGGGCTACTTTGGCCTAGTAGTACGAATTGCGGAGAGAGCCCCCCCTGAAACATACTCACAAGTTCGCCCTGGAGGGGCTACTAGTAGGGCTACTTCGGGCTACTAGTACGGTCCCGGGGAACGTGGCGGGGGCGTACTCGTAGGGTACTTTGGCTTACTAGTACGACCGGCGGAGGGGGCCTCCGCTCGAGACATCCTCGAAAGTCCGCCCCGCCGGGGCTACTAGTAGGGCTACTTTGGGCTACTAGCACGACCGGCGGAGTGAGTCTCTGCTCGAGACGTCCCCGAAAGTCCGCCCCGGCAGAGCTACTAGTAGAGCTACTTTGCCGTACTAGTACGGCTCTGGGGGGTTGGGGGGGGGGTACTGGTAGGGCAACTCTGGCCTACTAGTAGGACCCGCCGGGTCGTACTAGTAGGCGTACTTCGGCCCTAGGAGTACGCCTCCTTCGCCCCGCGGGGCGTACTAGTGGGCGTACTTCGGCGTACTAGTACGACCCAGCGGGGCGAACTAGTAGGCGTACTTCGGACCAACGAGTACGCCTCCCGAGCGCCGCGGGTCGTACTAGTAGGCGTACTCTGGCCTACTAGTAGGACCCGCCGGGTCGTACTAGTAGGCGTACATCGGCCCTAGGAGTACGCCTCCTTCGCCCCGCGGGTCGTACGAGTGGGCGTACTTCGGCGTACTAGTACGACCCATCGGGGCGAACTAGTAGGCGTACTTCGGCCCTACGAGTACGCCTCCCGGGCGCCGCGGGTCGTACTAGTAGGCGTACTTCGGCGTACTAGTACGACCCGCCGCGTCGTACTAGTAGACGTACTTCAGCTCTACGAGTACGCCTCCCGGGCGCCGCGGGTCGTACTAGTAGGCGTACTTCGGCTACTAGTACGACCCGCCTGGTCGTACTAGTAGGCGTACTTCGGCCCTAGGAGTACGCCTCCTTCGCCCCGCGGGTCGTACGAGTGGGCGTACTTCGGCGTACTAATACG